CGGCCGGAAACGACATTTTCAACCTCTCGGGACCGTTTTGAGCCGTTGGAGCCGCCGGAAACCTTATTTTGCGGCGATTCTATCTCCTTCACCCGTTTTCCTTGGATTTTTCACTCTCTTTGAGCTTGGACACGACTCATGGCTCGATTTTTCTTACTCTTGGCATTGAGATCATCGTTTTATGAGGTAACTCACTTAGACCTACTCGTGCCATATGTATTTGATTTGGGCGTGACTTTATTGAGTTGGAGGTGATATATACTAAGTGTGGGGGAGGTGTATCGGGGGCTCATGAGTATATATTGATCATTTGGAGGATTTTGGCTATTGTCTCTCGGTGTGAGGCTCGTTTGGAGTTATTGTTGATTGTTTTAGGTGAAATGCGGTGCACTTTGGTGTTTGATTTGAATTTCACTATATCATTGGTGCTCGGTTGTGCTTGAGGTTATATATTGATTGAAAAGTTGGTCGGGTCATGCCATGGCAAGCATTATTATGGGCCAGAGGCCCGAATGATCTTTCACGATACGTGCGTCTACGTCGAGTTTGTGGATTCTCAGTTATTATCTCTCCGAGACGCATACATGTGGCCATTACTCGGTGCCTAAAGATGGGATTCTCTTATGCTTCCAAATACCATAGTGCTCGGTTGGCTTATGGATCGATATGCTTTTATTGTTCACTCGTTTGGATGGTTTTGTTTAGCACTCGAGGACCTTTGGATTATTTCTCGTATTCCCACCGGACTAACACCATTAGACACACGGTGGAACACCACCGTGTAGAGTACGCGCTTTCTTTTCCATACGTTATTTTCTTTTTCTTTTTATTTCTTTGTGCTATGTGTTTCTTTTCATTTTCTCGTTTGTATATATTTTGTTTTGTCGATCGCATGAGCTTGTCTGTCAACGTGCTATTTCCTATGCTTTTTGGGTCAAGCAATGAGGACATTGCTTTGTTTTAAGTGTGGGGGAGGGATTTCGTGATTATGCATGTTTAGGTGATATCTTCTTCGTTTTTGGTGCTTTATTTTTTTTGTGTTTGTTGAGTCGTGGACCAGTTTTATTTCAGTTTTTGTGTGTTTGTATCACCTCTCCCGCATGATGCTCAATGTTTGTTCGAGAGTCGAGATAGCTAAGTGGTGAGTCCAGATTATTGATTGGTTTCACTATTAACGTTCATGCGTTATGTACTTGATGACTTGGATGGTTTCCTTAAAGTTAAATGATGATTCATTGACATTGGAACCCACATGTGGATTCACGGAATTGTTTTGTCCCTTGTTTGTTCTCGATTGATTGTCTTGAGGCATGCTTTCCTTATGTTCGACTATCGTTGTAAACGTGTTATCTATGCACTTGTGGTACGTCTTGATGATTATTGATGTTCATGTTATTGTATTCTTGATGTATTATTGTGTGCCACTCCCTTCGAAAAAAAATGGAATAAAATGTGAGTTCGCGGGGAAGTACGGATTAGAATCCTCTTATTCCGAGCCACTTCGTGGATTGGGATAATGAGCCCAGGAAACCAGTTTAGGAAACTCGGGGAAACCCCTCGAGGTTAAACCTAGATCATCTCGTCCGGAAACCTCGTTTTGAAAGAGAAGCTCACGAAAATGAGTTCGTGAGAGTTGAAAGGATTAGGCTCCTCTTGGCTCGGTTAGTCTTCTTGATAAACTGGGTTAAGGAGTACGGGAAACCGGCCTAGGAAACTCGGGGACAAACCCCGAGGTTAAACCTAGGTAATAATCGTCCTAACGACTTTCATTTGGAAAAAGTAGCTCATTAAATAAAAAAAAAAACAAAAAAACCAAAAAAAAGAGAAAAAGAATGGGAGTTGGCTTATTGGTCTCGTGCTCATCATTTCATGTTTAGTAGATCATTATAGTTTTTGCACGTGTATGTAGACGAGGGAGTGTGAATCGAGTGATCATGTGTAGAATAACTCGGGATGGATTTTTGTTTTGTATGGATTTGCTATGTGGGGGCCGTGTTTTCAGATTGGATTTTGATTTTAGGGATAACTGGATGATAATGAGAGTCTCATTTCGCGTGCTCGTTAATGTTGGACCATTC